CCGTCACGCGGTAGCACTACAAAATGATTCACATTGACGAAACGACAATTATTCGAGTCACTACTTCACTAGATGCACCATGATAAGAACAACGGTTCCAAGTGCTGTGCGCGACACGAATGTTAAGGCATAAGCGGACAAATATTTGCTGGTGTCTTTGGAAAAAAGGAATGAGTGGGAATGAATAAATAATGATCTGCGTTTTGAGGTTTTATTTGTTTCATTTAAAAATATCGCCCTACCTTTAAAGTCGGATATTTGAAAAGTTCGAAAATTATTCCGTTTTACATTAATCGGCCCATTGCGCTCAAAGCAATTACTTTTATTTTCACAATTTCCCTATAATATGGACTAATGGAACTTCACAGAAGAAAATTTTTTCTGGGTTAGAGCGTTCTCTTCTTATGTGAAGCAGATTAATGGGCTTACAGAGCGTTCTTTTAATGTGGCAAAAGATTGATAATGGCAAGGCTTGAATAAAGCACTCACGGTTTCTTTAGCGGACTTCATAGAATTGTAACCTATCCAAACAAATGGATTTTCATTATTTCTGTTGACAAAAGCGAGAGCTTTGAAACGTTGCGTGCTAACCGGAGATATAGTGCAATTTCAGTGAATTCATAGGTAACAGAAAGTTGATCTCGCTCAGAATTGCGATCTTCAAGCACCTTTCAACATGCAAAATCGCATTTCCGAGAGTAACAAGCCAGCAATCGAAACGAACCGAATTCCTCCACACAAAAAATCGTTTTGCGTGCATTCGTGTGATTCAATAATGCAGCAGAATTCAGTTTAATTCAACTGCGAACAACACTCTTCTTTCGTTTCATATGAAGCATTTCGAGGTGAATCGCAGTCCAGTGAATGCAATCTAAATGCGTTTGAATGCTTTNACGAATTCATCTTCATAGATTGAAAATTGATGGTGCTCAATGAGCAGCTTGTAATCTAAATTACATTACTCAGATGGAACGAGCAACGTATGGTGTTGCCTTGAGAAGACTCGGGAGATAGTCGTTGTATAAGAGAAAGAAATTGTTCAGTCATCAGACTCTTGCAAGATATATTTGAATCGCTTAAATTACGGATCACATACGGATTATGTTTGGCCGAACATTATTAGTTCATAATACTATGAGAAGTTTCGATTCTTGTAAAACATTTGATTAAGGTAGAAGCACCTTGTGAGTTGGATATGACGTCGTTTCCGATGGATGTTCAGCGATGTACGATGACTTTCGAATCGTACTCGTTCAACGTTGGTCGAGTACGTCTTGACTGGTTCGAGACTGGGGTCATCTTTGATATTCAGGTATTCGATATTCCTGGCTCTAGATAAACCAATAATAACCTTCAAGTGAACCAATAGATAGTAATAAAAATGTGTGCCATATTTCAGCATCTGCCGTGCTACATAACTTCTCATGTTCTGATGTCAATTTATTGAACGCTATACGAACTTTTAGGAAAAATTGTTCTTTTANTGAGACAATTCTTAGATAAGGAATGTTAAAATTCATCGCTTTTGACAGCTGAATTTTTGTCGAACTGCATCGCTGCTCAACGAAACCGTCAGACTACATTGCTGAATTGTAGGGCAAGCTCCCGGATTTTGAGTTGGCACGATATACGTGGCAAAAACAAAAGTTTTATTATCCTGCTGGTCAGTGGGACCAATTGAAAGCGACATTTTATTTCCGACGAACCTATGGCTATTATATACTTCAGTTATATATGCCCACTTACACCTCAGTATTCATCAGGTGATCATCATTTTGCTATACGAATTTTCAGAGCCAGTTCAAAAAAAGCTTCATATTTTAAGACTGAAATAGTTATCGTGAAGATGGCTTGCTTCAGGATTGTGAATGATAGTAGGGAAGATCATTTTGAATGAATGAACTGAAAATAGAAACAAGCAATATTAGAAGCACCGATTATGAAGTATTAATTGGCTTCATTTTGGAACGAGACGACTGTTTCAGCTGGATTGCGTTTTGGCTCGATCCAAAATGTTTGCCAGGAAGAATTACACTTGGCGTCTCCTCTCTTATGGCTCTCACATTTCAGGTTATTGTCACACTCCAGAAAATTTTCGGCGAATAACCTGGTAGAATAAGGAATGAATGCAACTTTCATTTTTAGCTACTCATAAAATGTCACAACAAATGTTTTCAACAGAGAATGATCATTTTTGTGCATCAATTTCGTTTCAGTACGGTAATGTGGCCCGAAGTCTACCGAAAGTGTCTTACGTGAAAGCCTTGGACGTATGGATATTTGCGTGCATGGTACGTTCTCTCTCATCAGAATCTCGTTCAGTGATGAACGTTTTGGTTGTGGGTTTGATGGAAACGGTAGTGACACGGGGATTATTATCGAGGANATTCGAGGATTAATGAATGATTTGCACAGGGAAACGAGTTGAATGGGACTGATGAATTGCAACTGATTTCAGGGATTTATTTTCTTTTCATTAGTTGAATTAGCGATCGTTGGTCATGTTGATAAACTAGCTACGAAGGAGAAGAAGAAACTGAGTGGTCGATACGATGGTCGAAGGAGGAACAATCGAGTGGATTTGAGAATGCAAAACAAGTAGGCTAATGTGCTGAACTGATTTTTGCCATTGACGAAACTGAATGTTCATCAATGTAAAGAAAATTTCGTAGCGATAATTGAATATTGCTGTAAAGACACAGTAAAACTAAGGTGATGTTCAAATTCATTCGGTGGATACAGATGACCCAAGAATAGGAAACAAATGGCAAACGTAAAATCAAAAACGAAGGGGTTGGCCTGTGAATGAATATTTGTTTGGCGAGCAAAGGTTTGAAATTTCAGTGTTAGTGAACAAACGACATCGTTCTTTAATTCGCCAACTGACATTCGTCTAGCGTCGAATCGTTTGAACGAAAATAGTTCAACGGAATTGAAAAGGTATGTCTGTTCAACTCATCAGATCAAAAGTTTGTAAATTGATATTCTTTGGAAACATCCATCGAAATTTGACTTGAATTAGTTGTGATGTGTTGCTCGATACTGATTGATGATGCGAAAATTTCTAGAGAATTGATTATAGTTTTGTGAATGTGTATTAAGGAGGAGTATATCGATGTCACCACATCCGTTAATAATGAAATCCAGTGCGTTGAGACGTCTTGATCGTGAAAGATATCGAGATACAGCCAATGAGCAGAATATGATGAAATGGAGGCAGTTGGAATGGACTGGTGAAAAGGTATGTGTACTTACATCATAATCCCATACTTTTTCTACATTTTATATCCATTTGTCAAGGAACTGGAAAAACTGACCGTGTTTTGTTCCCTGTCATCATCTGTAAGAGTTCATGAGCCACTCATCCGTATCTATACTTAATTCCTACGCCGCGCCCTATTGATTGAAAAACCACCGGTTATAAAATTGTGAAACATTTGGAGAAGAGAAGTTCATTCAAAAGGTAGAGATCTGTTGATGGCATGAAATTAACGAAATTGGAAAGCATAAAATGGGCTGATGAAGAGATAAAAATATACAAATATTAGTGTTGAATAATTGAATGAATTATCTAAA